ATGCCTTCTTCACTATCCTGTCTACCTGCGACTCTACTTTCAAGGAACTGTGAACCTGCACTCCAAGGTCTCTTTGTTCAACAACACTCACAAGGAACTTACCATTAAATGTATACGTCCAGCCCTGATTAAATGGAGCAAGATAACTCATAGGCTGGTATCCAGGAGAGTTCATACCCTGGAAACTCACCCTGCATCTAGTATGGAACAGATAAATTGCTTAGCACCATCCAAATCAGAACCAACCAAGACAAATGTCTGGTTAAATGGCTATCTGGTTCAAGTGGAAGTCAATACTGGCATGCCAGTATCAGTGATTGCAGAACCAGTTTTTAATAAAATTTGCTTTGGACTCCAGCCCTAAATGTGTGCCAGACTTCAGCTAGGCTGAGAACCTATGCTGGGGAACGTTTGCAGATTAAGGGTACAACCTTTGTTCCAAGTCTCTCGGGAAAGGCAGCTAGTCTGATTACCAGTGATTGTAGTAGAAGGCTCGGGCCCAAGCTAGATGGGGTGAAAATTGGTTGGGACAGATTCAACTAGATTGACTTAACATTTTTCAATTGGAAATGGCTAACTGTGTGAATTCCTAATTAAATACCCAGATGTTTTCCAGGAAGGTCTAGGACAATCAGAGGAGCCAAAGTAACTTTGCATATTGTATTTGTAATGAAGATGGCAGTAGAGTAGGAAGCACGGTTGGAGCTCCTCTGTTCACTAGTCCCGTTACCTGTTTTTCCCTCGCTCCTTTGGTGATTTTCCCTTTCTCACCCCCACCCCACGGGAGAGCGGAGTTGCAGAACAAGTGGGCCGAGTTCTGCGGCGGACCACAGCGAGCACGGGCTGGGTCCTGTGGTGGAGCTAGCACTGGCAGCATGGCCTTGTGCTCTGGGACCTGCAGGCAGGCCGGCCCTGTGAGCCCCAGGACACTGCGAGCAGTGCGCCCTGGAGCAGCACGTGGGCAGTGCGCCCCAGAAGCTTCGCAGCAGCCCCGGAGCCGCATGCAGGCAGCGAGTCCTGGACAGAGACTGGAGTGAGGGGACAATCCTTACCTTAGAACTTAACCTCAGAACACTGCAATGTTAATCCTTAATATTTTCCTACTTTTAAATTTATTTTCAACACTGTGATTAAGCGACTGCTTCTATTCCTCTGCTGTATCCAAGAATCACGCCTAGGTACTTGTACCTAAGATGTTGCCATAAGAAGGCAGACAGTATATTCACTGTGCTCGTACAAAGCAGTAGGTGTGACAAAAGGATATTGTTTTGTATATTGACCAGGAGACAATTCCATGATTCTGTAAGGCCCGTCTGGTGCCATTTGCCTTGCAGACAAAAGTAGAAGCAGAAATCAGGAGACTGGAAAGCGAAGGAATCACCAAACCAGTCCGATTTGTGGAATGGCCAGCACCAGTCATACCAATTTTGAAGCCCAATGGGTCAGTTTGATTTTGTGGGAATTTTAGTCAACTAGTGAACTAACTGTTTTTCGCAATTGGATATAGGATTTACAAGCAGAGCTGGCAGGGGGCCTGTCCGCCACAAAGTTTGACATGAACCGCGCTTACTTGTAATAGCGTTTAGACCAGGATTCTTTGAAGTATGCTACAATTAATACCCATAAATGCTTGTACCAAGATACAAGCCTCCTATTTAGCGTATCATTTGCCTGTTCAATTTTTCAGTGTATGATGGAGAACATTTTGCAAGGGCTACCTCAGATTGCCACTTATCTGGATGACTCCCTGATAACAGGGAAAACCAATAAGGAACAATTAAAGAACTTGGATGTAGTCCTATGGCATTTTTCCAAGACATGTGTATGCCTAAGAAGGGAAAAACGTGTGCTCCAGGCTTTGCCAAATGACCTACTTGGGCTATAGGATCGACAAGACTGGGTCTTTTACTTATTGGAAGATAGTGAGGGCAATTAAAGGTGCCCCGACTCCCATGTCTGTCCAGGAGCTTGGGTCATTTCTGGCTCTGGTAAATTATTATGGAAAAGTCATATACAACCTGGCACCATTGCATCAATTCCTAAACAAGGATCAGCCTTGGAAATGGTCTCAAAGACAGGCCCTAGCTTTTGATGAAGTGAAGGAACAACTATCATCCTTTAATGTGTTGTCACACTATGATCCCAAGAAAGATCTATTATTGACATGCAATGCCTCCCATATGGCATCAGGGTGGTATTAATTCATCGGTGACCGACTGGAGAGGAAGCCGAATAGCTTATGCATCCAGGACTTTGGTCAATGCAGAACATAAATATATCCAAATAGTAAAAGGTGGATTAGTGGTCATATTTGGAGTTCCACCAATACATTTGTAGGTGAAAATCTGTGATAATCACGGACCACAAACCCCTGCTTGGTCTACTTAAAGAGGATAAGGTAGTGATGCCCACATCTTCAGACCTCATTAAGTGGTGGGCTCTAATACCAAAGTGCTAATAATTACAATGAGAACACCGTCCAGGAGGCCAAATAGCAAACGCTGATGCATTGAGCCACCTTCCATTAGCAGATACGCTGTGGAACCCCCAATGGAAGGGTTGGTCATGATATTGAATTTCTTTCAAGTAACCAGTCACAGTCAACAATCAGACTTTGGACACAGAGAGGTCCAGTCCTTTCCAAACTGAAACGACTGGTATTGATAGGGGAAACCAAAAAGGGGCTTTGCAGCGAAAATTAAAACCTCTTTGGACCTGAAGGCACTTGCTCACAGTAGAGGTCAACATTTGTTATGGGGGACGAGAGCGATTGTCCTAAGCAAAGTTCGTCATCACATACTGGCTGAAATTTTACCAGCGCCATCCAGGGTCTCTAAAATGAAGATGTCGGCGAGGAGTTACGTCTGGTGGCCAGGCCTAGACTCAGACATAGCCGTGCTGGTGGGGCAGTGCCCAGAATGTCAACAAGGTCAAAAGTTATCGCCAGCAGCTCCCCCACATTCATGGGAATGGCCAGGTAAACCTTGGACTCTGTTGCATGTTGAATATGCAAGTCCTTTCACGAATTCAACATTTTCACCCACTGTGGATGCCCACTCAAAGTGGTTGGACGTGCATAGAGTCCATTCATCAAACACTGAAGCAACAACAGAAAAATTGCACGCGTTTTGTTACAAACGGAGTCCCGGAGATATTGGTCACAGATAGCGGACCATCGTTTACTAGCAAGGACTCCAGTTACTTCTCACAGCTGAATGGGATTTGACATATTAGGACAGTTCCATACACCCATCACCCAATGATTTGGCAGAAACAGAGGTCCAAACTTTGAAGGCTGGACTGAAGAAACAGCCTATAGCCTCTCTCGAAACCAAGCTGTCACAGTTCTTGTTTGATTATAGGACCACCATACATGCAACTAAAGGAGAGCACTGCCAGGGTTGCTAATGGGTAGAAGACTCCACACCGGGTTAAGTCTGATCTTCCCGAACCTGTGGGCAAGGGTGAAATGTCATCAGGAACTCCAATGCCAAATCCAAGTCTGATACAGGGGACAAAGTTTGGTTCAAAAGTCATAAGCGTGGTCCCAAATAGGTAAGAGACATGATCGATGCGAGATCAAGGCTAGTGACTTCTAAAGTTTGGGCAGGTGTGACTGTCCTGAATAAGCACGTGAATCATTTGAGAGCGTCAAATTTGCAGACTGTGCAGGAGCAAAACTGGTCCTGCCCCTTTCAGCCTTCAGAAATACTTCAGGGACATTGCTTGATAGAGAAGGTGAATCATTGTGAAGTCTTCTGAATCAGAGATGTACATGACAGAAGTAGTTGCCTGGACGCTTCTGCCGCTGGAAGAAAGGAGTCAAAGTCTACCGAGGCACTCCAGGCACAAGAGGCGAGCTTCCAGTCGTTATACATCTCCTGTGTCTGATTTTGAGGTGGAGGAACTTGTGTTTTTTAAAAGAGAAGCTGCCTACACCACCTCAACTGCTGTCTAGCCAATCAACACACCCCTACAAAGGAATTCCAGACTGCTATCTCCACATTTGGACTTCTGGACTTCATCTTAAAAAGCAAGAATAGATAAATACCTAATAAATGAGGGATACATCAGTTTAAGTAGTTACTGAATACCAATTCTACAGGTTCTCCTCTGTCTGTGTGTGTTTTTTTTTGTTGTGATAGTTCCCCTGCAACTTAGTGTGAAACAATTGCTATTTCCAGTTTAACAAATAGTGGTGGGTAGCATTCTTGAACCACTGCAGTCCTTGGAGTGTACATACACTCATAACACTGAGGAAGGGCATGCCAGGATTTTGACCCAGCGATATTTAAGGAATGCTGACAGACATCAAAATCAGGATGTTGAGTGACCTGCTGTGTTCATCCAGCTCTACACCTTGTTATCTCAGATTTTCCAGCATCTGCAGTTCCGACTATCTCGGATACAATTTTAACCCCACTGTGAACCTCTTCTAAGGATGCCTATCCTGAAGAAGTTGCCCTCCTCCCTCCGGACAAACCTCAGGGGATCTCGCTCCCGCTGCAACTCTCTCGTAATCTTTGGCCTTGAAACTGCTCAACCATGTCCTGAAGCAAACCAGGTACTACAGCCACATCACCTTTCTTAGTACCTGCCTACGGAACCAGATCATCCCCAATGGACTACAGTCCACATTCAGGCCTTCCCAAATTGGCCCCAAGCGTGACAATGTCTACATTCATAGCATTGAGATCCTTCAGAAGCGTTTCTCCCTGTGACTCCTGAAACACACACTCGCAGCAACGCGCCGGCATCTCCAGGCACTACAATCAAGCCTACCCCAGCTCAGAGCCTCCCTCTCCCAGACCTGCAAAGGACCTCTCCTTTTTTTTATTCTTTGTAGGATCCACAACCTGAACTCACAATTCTACTCAGCTTTACAATAAACTTACTAGTGCCTACCACCCAAAACGGGCTTCCTCCACCTCCCAAATCCCCAGCTGTACCCAGGACCTTCCCCACAACATGCCCGCCGCCATTGGCCATGAGGCCACTGTTGGAGAACCCACAGATGACGTCACATCCGCCACCGCCGGGTACCCCACTTCCGGGACAGCGAACGCCATCGCTGCTGATGCCACTGCCTCCATTTCCGAGGCCAACACCACGGACACTGAAGATGCACCTACCGTCACCGCTGCTGCCGCCGCCTACCCCGCTCCGCCCACCACCGATGCCGCTCCGCCCACCACCGACGCAACTCCGCCCACAGCCTACACCAACGCAACACTGTCCACCACCGCCGACGCAACCCCACCCACAGCCTATGCCGATGTCGCTCTGCCCACTGCCTCCACAGCCAGCAGCTCCAGAGGAGACAGCAACACTCAGCCCTGCCGAGTCTTCACCATCCCCCCAGACCTCCCCCTTACTGAGGACGAACGGTCAGTCCTCAGTAAAGGGCTCACCTTTGTCCCCCTCCACCCATACATCAACGAATACCGGTCACGTTTGGACATTGAGCAGTTTTTCCGCTGCCTCCGCCTCCACGCTTACTTCTTCAACCGTGAACTTAACCCTCCCTCTACTGACCCCTTCTCCCGCCTCCAACACACCCCCTCCTGCTGGACATCACCCCAAGGCCTCCTACGCTCCCTCGACCTCTTCATCTCCAATCGCCGTCGAGACATCAATTGCCTCAACCTCTCCACCCCTCTCACCCACTCCAACCTCTCCCCCGCAGAACGTGCAGCCCTCTGCTCCAATCCCAACCTCACCATAAAACCCGGACAGTGGAGGTGCAGTTGTAGTATGGCGCACTGACCTCTACATCGCCGAGGCCAGACACCAACTCTCCGACACCTCCTCCTACCGCCCCCTTGATCATGACCCCACTCCCGACCACCAAACCATCATCTCCCAAACCATCCACAACCTCATCACCTCAGCTGACCTCCCACCCACAGCCTCCAACCTCATCATTCCCCAACCCCGCACCGCCCGCTTCTATCTCCTTCCCAAAATCCACAAACCTGACTGCCCTGGTCGACCCATTGTCTCCGCCTGCTCCTGCTCCACCGAACTTATCTCCACCTATCTCGACTCCATTTTCTCCCCTTTGGTCCAGGAACTCCCTACCTACGTCCGTGACACCACCCACGCCCTCCACCTCCTCCAGAACTTCCAATTCCCCGGTCCCCAACACCTCATCTTTACCATGGACGTCCAGTCCCTATACACCTGCATTCCCCATACAGATGGCCTAAAGGCCCTCCGCTTCTTCCTGTCCCGCAGGCCCGACCAGTCCCCCTCCATTGACACCCTCATCCGCTTAGCCGAACTTGTCCTCACCCTCAACAACTTCTCTTTCAATTCCTCCCACTTCCAACAGACAAAGGGGGTGGCCATGGGTACCCGCATGGGCCCAAGCTATGCCTGCCTCTTTGTAGGTTACGTGGAACAATCCCTCTTCCATACCTACACTGGCCCTAAACCCCACCTCTTCCTCCGTTACATTAATGACTGTATCGGCGCTGCCTCGTGCTCCCACGAGGAGCTCGAACAGTTCATCCACTTCACCAACACCTTCCACCCCAACCTTAAGTTCACCTGGACCATCTCTAATACCTCTCTCTCCTTCCTGGACCTCTCTGTCTCCATCTCGGGCAACCACCTAGAAACCGACATCCATTTCAAGCCCACCGACTCCCACAGCTACCTAGAATACACCTCCTCCCACCCACCTTCCTGCAAAAATGCCATCCCCTATTCCCAATTCCTTCGCCTCCACCACATCTGCTCCCAGGATGAGGCATTCCAATCCCATACATCTCAGATGTCCTCGTTTTTCAAGGATCGCAACTTCCCCCCCTCAGTGGTCGAGAACGCCCTTGACCGTGTCTCCCGCATCTCATCCCTCACACCCCGTCCCCACAATAACAACCAAAAAAGAATCCCCCTCATCCTCACGTACCATCCCACCAACCTCCGGATCCAACGCATCATCCTCCGACACTTCCGCCATCTGCAATCCAACCCCACCACCAAAGACATTTTTTCCTCCCCGCCCTTATCTGCCTTCCGGAGGGACCACTCTCTCCGTGACTCCCTTGTCCGCTCCACACTCCCCTCCAGCCCCACCACACCCGGCACTTTTCCCTGCAACCGCAGGAAGTGCTACACCTGCCCCCTCACCCCCATCCCAGGCCCCAAGAAGACTTTCCACATCAAGCAGATGTTCACCTGCACATCTGCTAATGTGATATACTGCATCCGCTGTACCCGTTGTGGCCTCCTCTACATCGGGGAAACCAAGCGGAGGCTTGGGGACCGCTTTGCAGAACACCTACGCTCGGTTCGCAATAAACAACTGCACCTCCCAGTTGCGAACCATTTCAACTCCCCCTCCCATTCCTCAGACGACATGTCCATCCTGGGCCTCCTACAGTGCCACAACGATGCCACCTGAAGGTTGCAGGAACAGCAACTCATATTCCGCTTGGGAGCCCTGCAGCCCAATGGTATCAATGTAGATTTCACAAGCTTCAAAATCTCCCCTCTCCCAACTGCATCCCAAAACCAGCCCATCTCGTCCCCACCTCCCTAACTTGTTCTTCCTCCCACCTATCCCCTCCTCCCACCTCAAGCTGCACCCCCATTTCCTACCTACTAACCTCATCCCGCCCCCTTGACCTGTCCTTCCTCCCTGGACTGACCCATCTCCTCCCTAACTCCCCACCTACACTCACCTTTACTGGCTCCATCCCCGCCTCTTTGACCTGTCTGTTTCCTCTCCACCTATCTTCTCCTCTATCCATCTCCCCCTCTCTCCCTATTTATTTCAGAACCCCCTTCCCCTCCCCCATTTCTGATGAAGGGTCTAGGCCCAAAACGTCAGCTTTCCTGCTCCTCTGATGCTGCTTGGCCTGCTGTGTTCATCCAGCTCTACACCTTATTATCTCTGTTGAGTGACTTAGATGGGCACTTGCAGTTGGTGGTATTGCCATGTTTCATAGAATCCCTACAGCGTGGAAGCATGCCATTCGTCCCATTGAGTCCACACTGATCCTCCAAAGAGCAACCCACCCAGCCCCACACCCTATCCCTGCACTTCCCATGGCTAATCCACCTTGCCTACACATCCCTGGGCACTACGGACAATTTAGCATGGCCAACCTACCTAACCTGCACATCTTTGAACTGTGGGAGGAAACTGGAGCATCCAGAAAACCCATGCAGACACAGGGAGAATGTATAGATTCCACACAGAGAGTTGCCCAAGGGTGGAATCGAACCCAGGTCCCTGGTGTTGTGAGGCAGCAGTGCTAACCACTGAGCCGCCGTGCCGCTCATTCATTTCTGCAACACTTGTCATTCTAGATGGTAGAGGCTGTGGGTTTGGACTTGGGAACCAGTCGAACTCCTTTGTTCTCCTTCGAATAATGCCAAAGAATGTTTATATCTACTTGAGAGGTGAAGAAAGGGTCTTGCTTTAACATTTCACTCGAAAGCATTCCCTAGCTATGTTGGATACTTCAGTACTATGTTTAAAGGATCAGCCTAGTTTACGTGCTTATGTCTTGACCGGGACTTGAAGCCATGATCCTCTCAAATCAGTGGTGGGAGTTCAACTATCATGAATAAAATCAGCTTCTCAGTTTATGTTTAATTCATTTGTAGGATATTGGCATCACTGTGTAGACCAGTGTTTATCTTTAGTCCATCCTTAACTGAACAAAGTAAACCACATTGAAAACAACGAATGCTGAAGATCACAGAGGGTCAGACAGCATCCATGGAGAGACAGCAAGCTAACGTTATGAATCTAGACAACTCTTCATCAGAGCAAGTAAATCACAATGCTGTCTGTAGTCACATACAGGTCAGATCAGATAAGGATGACAGATTTCTAAGGACATTATTGAACTAAATGAGGTTTTTTAATGACAATCACAAAGGCTAGTCTTTCATTCCAGATAGTACTCAATTCAAATTTCAACCTCTGTCATGAAGGGATTTGAAGCCCTCTGCCCAGAACATTAGCCTTGAATTTTGGATTAAACCTTGTGACACTACAACTATGCCATCACTTTGTCCCTTAATTGAAGCACTATGATATACTGTATACTTTACGGCAACAAGACAACATGATCATGACATAACACAGACCTGGATTAATTTAGCACAACACCAGAGGATTCATGTACTCTTAATCGTTTCTACGCCACAGTCAAGAAATTGGTTGATTGGGTTAGTAAAGATTACCTGGCATGACATTCAGTTGGAAGGAATAAAGTTTGTTTGCATCAGGAAAATCCAATTTACACGTGCCTGTAAAGAGAGAGGGAGAAAAAAAAAATCAATAAATGGAGTGAATGCAAATAAAATGAGCACTCAGAACAAAAGGTGTAAAGATAAGGAGCTCAAAAGGCCACTCAACTCATCCCTTTGTGCATTAAATTCCCATCTAAGCCCATCCTGCTGATACAATGACTCTCCCACTGAAGTCCATCTCTCTGGCACCTAAACCTATAATTTTAGGATCCACATGCAGTTTTATTAATCTCGATCTTCATGTGCATGCAGATTATTGCAATCAGTTCTCTTTGGGTAAATATATTCTAAAATGTGGTCTTTTCCTGTATTATTTAATTGAAATTTTGATTAAGACAGAACACAGAAATAAGTAATAAACTGTCCAATAATGGGTTTAAACCACCAGAACATTGGTTGATAATGGTCTATTTTGTAAGTAATCTAATATAGATCAAAAACCTGGCAATGGTCTGCTGGCAATTCATCATCCTGACAGAGAGACCATTCATAAGGCTGACAGTAATCATCTGGATCTTGTGATAAAGATTGACCATCTAATTCTGGGAAAGCAAGTGGAATGAATAGCTCAAGCCAAAAATACAGAAGAAAGGGGACTTTTGGCCACAACATTCCAAGGCAAGAAAAGCAGCATGTGTCAATAATAAGTGTACTATGCAGAAAAAAGGCAGAATTTGGAGAAATAAAAGTTCTGTTGCGAATTAATTGGTTGGAGTAGTTTGCAAACAAGATGATGAATTGGCAATGTAGATGTTTAAATGGGAAAAGAAATAACAAAATAAATATATTCTTAAGGAGGCATCAATAGACAGAGAACCATAAATAGACAGAGAACCATAAATAGACAGAG